GGTGGTGGATGCCCCATCCCTGGAAACATTCCAGGTCAGGTTGGACGGGGCTCTGAGCAAGCTGATCTAGTTGAAGATGTTCCTGCCCACGGCAGGGGGGTTGGACTAGATGACCTTTAGAGGTCCCTTCCAACCCAAACTATGCTATGATTCTGTTCTATGATTCTATGTTCTGTCATTTTCCAGAGCAGGGACTCTTCTTGTCTTGCCCATACGCCTAGCAGGGTTTATGAACTTGGGCAGAGTGCCTTGTTCATCTGATTACACCTGTAGTCTATTGTGGTGTTTCGCAGTCAAATAAGAGTAAACCCTATAGAGGTTTCTATAGGGAGCATAATAAACTGTTCTTTTAAGCTAGTTTAATCGTTGGTGACACTGTAGTCTCAAAGGTCAGCTTTCTAGAAATCAGTTCATGCAGGACAGGTGCTTGCTGTCGTACTTAAAGATGACTGTCCACTCAAAGTTTAAATTAGAATTTCACAAAGTTCTACCACTTGTTGAGTGGGATGTCAAGCAAGATGGCCTGTGAGAAAATTCATGTGGGGGTGGGAGAGAAGGGAGCTAAAGCCAAGAGCATTCGGTTACAGATCCCCAGTGTAGAGTCTTGCGTGTTCTTATTGCCATCATCAATGGGGAAGATTGCCCTTCAGCAGTTATGAGACAGCATCTCCCTCCTACCAACCGTAGCAGGAACTAGGAGGGTAATGGGCTGTCTACCGAGTATAGCTGTGAGAGAGGGGAAGTAAATAGGGTTGTTGCTAAGTACCATTATTTCAAGAGCAAGCCATTCCATTTTTCACTGATGTTTTTGGTAGCAAAGGCTAAATCATTTGCCTCTCCCAAAAAGTGCATTATAAAAATGCTGTCTCTTTAAATATGTCCGAGAGCACTCTTAGGGGAAAAGGGGCAGAGTACTGAAAGACAAAGTCTGTATCCACAAGAAGTGAGTGAGATTAAAATGACTGCTGGCTAAAACAAACAGACTTGTTATGTTAAATATTGTAACCTGTTCTTTTTGTCCAGCATTTGAGTTGGAGGCTATTTTTCTAAATACATCTGATATCGGTAAATAATGAGTCATCCTTGCTCTGAAACTTTTTTCTAAAAAGAACTTCCTGGACAGTACAGGACTACGAAGTCTTCTATTTTTAAGCATGACTTCCGTAAAAACATTAAGTAATTTGACCGTCATGTTGTGTTAGATGATTTATTTGTCCTGTTCAGCATAATGTTTCACTATGCATTTAGTAATTTCCCCCCACCTTTGACATTCAACCTCAGGAACGCTATTGGGATAGCTATTTCCATCACACTTAACAGGCCTCTGTAAGGCTGTGTTTTTCACTGGTCACGATTACACAAGGCCAAAAAAGTAGTAGCTGAGGTATTGAGAAGGAAGGAAACTGGCTTACTTTAATACTGTCTCTTATATTTGTGAGTCAGTAAGCAATATAGAAACTAAGCTTAGTGTGTTCACTATAGTGGGAACTTCTGTAGAAAAATCATCTTAGAAGGTCCATTTCTTTCAGAAGGTATTAACCTAGCATTGGACTGTGTGGAACTTAGCTTGCAACCTATAAAGGACTGTGGCAGAATTCATGAATAATGTCTATAAATGGTGAAGAGATAAAAATGGCTGCTATCCAGCTGAAAAAAGTAATCACAAAACACTCTGCCAAAGATCTTACCTCAAAGCTTAAAGTTACATTAAACTTGGCTGACAAAGCTTTGTCTTGTAAGATGTTATGCTCTTTAACTTGCTTGATGACAAAACCAGAACAGATTGACAGTAAAGCCTTTCTGCATTATTACTGTAGCCTCGTCTCTGAGGAAGATACAAGTTGATCTACCAAAGTAGTTTGATACTACTACAGCATATTGTATTGAAGTTATTTATTTCAAAAAACCCCATGGACTTCAGAGCTTCAAGATGAATAGTAACTAGCATGTACAGGAAAAAACCAAAATATTTAGTCTTCTGGCTGCATAATAAAGATCTTATACATTATCTTGTACAAGAAAAATCTATGAGAGTTTCTTTTGCTTTTAGGCTCAGACTGCCTTTTCTTCAAATCCAGCTAATCCAGCAATCTTGTCTGAAGCTTCTGCTCCTATTCCTCATGATGGAGGTAAGCTCATGTACTGTATAGTATCCTAATGTTGTGGAAAGCAGTTATGAAAGCCTAAAGTTACACTACAGGATTACATGTTTATAGGTATTTTTGACTATTTACTACGGGTGAGACCATGCCTTTTTGGAAAGGCCAACACCCCCCTACTTGCCCCAAACCACCTGGGTAGAGGTGCTATAGGGGTCAAAAAAATGTTTGCTTATAAAAGGAAGTTGTGGCAAACACTAACCCTTCTCCGAACTTTTCAAAACCTTTTCCAAGCGAGCCTAATATGACAAGATCTGCTGTTGGTACCATTTGAGCTCTTTTTAACTCTTACCTCAAAAACTTAGTTGTCCTTATTTATTAAGTGTATTTTTTGTAAGCTTTAGAGAGCAGCATGAGTCTGAGTGCCTTTCCTCTCTATGTGAGCTTGCTTGGGAACAAACAAACACAAATCTCTGTCAGAGAAGTGCCCAATCTTGTCTGAAGCTTCTGCTCCTATTCCTCATGATGGAGGTAAGCTCATGTACTGTATAGTATCCTAATGTTGTGGAAAGCAGTTATGAAAGCCTAAAGTTACACTACAGGATTACATGTTTATAGGTATTTTTGACTATTTACTACGGGTGAGACCATGCCTTTTTGGAAAGGCCAACACCCCCCTACTTGCCCCAAACCACCTGGGTAGAGGTGCTATAGGGGTCAAAAAAATGTTTGCTTATAAAAGGAAGTTGTGGCAAACACTAACCCTTCTCCGAACTTTTCAAAACCTTTTCCAAGCGAGCCTAATATGACAAGATCTGCTGTTGGTACCATTTGAGCTCTTTTTAACTCTTACCTCAAAAACTTAGTTGTCCTTATTTATTAAGTGTATTTTTTGTAAGCTTTAGAGAGCAGCATGAGTCTGAGTGCCTTTCCTCTCTATGTGAGCTTGCTTGGGAACAAACACAAATCTCTGTCAACAGAGAAGTGCCCAGGAAGGTAGAAATTAATCTTGTCAGGCTATCAACGTAAAGCTTCCAGCAGATTTTGGGATCAAATATCTGGTGGGAAATCCATCAGACTTAAAGCTGAATGACTTGTACCCGTTTCTCTTCCTTTTCTCCCATGCACATGTACATCCACAAAGGTGCACAGTTATGTTTGAGTCCAGAGCTCTGGGTTAGTGAGTTACGCTTGGTCTAAGGCCTAAAGCCTCTAACCAGTATGACCAGCAGCAGTGCTGGAACAGCTGTCAATAATGCTGGTGGATCAGATATTAGAGTTTGGTGGATGTAACTTTGTCTCCAGTTCTCCTCTTGGCACTGGTGTGTCGAAGATGACTTTAAGGCAGGAGTTTGCGTAGCTCACCAGAGAGCCACCTCTCGTAGATCCTTTCTGGAATAGATACTTACCTGGCCTAACCTCACAGACCAGATTTAAATTTACTTCAGCAGGCCCTTCTCGGCAGCATTCTTTCTGCTGTCCAGAGTTTGAATTCTCCTGCAATTTTTGTGTGTGCTGGCCAAATGACATAATTTTGACATCGCCTTGTGTGTGAATTGCTCAGAAGCTGTGTGTGGCTGGAGTGACTAATCACTCAATATATCCCAAAGGAAGGGAGGCCTACACCATCTATAGGATGTACCAAACCTGCTGCGAATACCTCTGTCCTGGCAGAGGCAGGAGAATATACAACATCAAGAGCTTTTAGATGTTTTCTGCTATTTGGAGGAGTCTCTGTTTTGAATGAGAATGTAATACAGCCAGCAAAGATGCATCCTGTGTGGTGGTCTTCGATGAAGAATAAAAGAAAAATCGAGTAGCTGCAGAAGTCTTGTGCAGTGTGAATTGTGTATAATTCTAGGGGCTTGAAAACACAAGCAAAAATAGAAGAAATATTCATTAAAAGCTTATTAATCAATATTGGTGAAACTACAAGCTGATAGATCAATCTGGAAATAAGATCAGACAGCTGTCATGTGAAGCAGCATGCAAACATGACCACTGAAGGTATTAAGGAGCAAAAAAGTCTCTCGTTTATACTGGAATTCACCTTGCAATGGCCTTTGTTCCTTTCCAGAAAACTAACTTTCCGTTTCTGGTCAAATGTGGATTCTTATAACAGCTGGTTTTATACATATACCCATAAATGAACACTAGAAACCTGAGCTTTGTGAACTGGGGGGCCTGCATGCTTCCAAGGCCGTCCCTTGCACCACCTTGCTCTCCGAGCAGCCTTTTCTGTCCCCGCTGATTCAGTGAGAACAGCCGGTGGACTCTTAAGAGTCCTTGTAACTGCTGCTTGTTAAATGGCACCAGTTAATTAGCTGTGGAATGTCAAGAACAATAGCACGCTTCTTTCCAGAGTGGTTTGACTCAAGGTCTGACAAGTCTGTCAGCTTAACTACCTTTCCTCCCACTCCCTGCACCCCCGCTCCTCTCGGGCGTAGAGGAATCTCCTGCTGGATACTTTAAGGGCCGTGTTTGGTTTGTCTTGTTGTGAGAGGCATGTCTAAAACAACTTCATTTTGAAGCTATGAGAAAATGACAGCTGCTTTCTTATGAAGACTATTAAAGCAGACTGCACTGTGGACCTTACAGTGAGGAGGCTGTCTTCTGCAGAAACTTTGCCATGCCCTGGGATCTGGAATGGCCTTGGCATGGATGCCTCTTGCGAGCACTGTCTTTACTTGGTGGAAGGTCGCTCTGTGTGTGTTTGTGTGTGTTCTCCAGCATACCTGCTTTGGGGGTGGGAGGGAGAGTAGTTCCCTACTAATTGCCCAAAAGCTTTGGAGTGAGGGCATGTCTTCATGGACTGCAGCACAATATTGCTTCTGGAACTTATCACCATGTGTCTAATGTTTGTGCTGTAAAGGATGAATTAAGAAACTGTAACTAGAAGTTCTCTGTAAGCTCTTTATCTCGGAAGTGCTGCTTGTCTGATTGCTTTTCTAAGCTGGGCTAGAATGACAGTCCTGATTCAAGTGGGTCTTCCATCGCAATTTTCAAATTAAATACATTACAATAGCACAAGATTTGTGGAAGTAATTGTACATATGAAAGCAGTAACTGCTTGTTCTGTTAAACCAACAATTGTTTTGACGTGTTTTTTGTTTTGTTTTTCTCATATAGGCTTATACCCCAGACTGTATCCAGAACTTTCTCAGTATATGGGCCTGAGCCTCAATGAGGAAGAGGTGCAGAGAAACTTGGCAGTGGCAGCAGCTGCTCAGCCACAAGGTGTAGGTACCACTCAAGCATGTTTTAGAAAGCAAAAGTATATCTAGCATTCTAGATTGTCTGAAGTACCATACTTGACTGCTAAATGAATTGTTTTAAGTAACAGTGCCTATTTTTCTCTGGTCTTAAATTGAGCAGTATATTTCCAGTGTTGGGGGTGGATGGGGAAGAGCTGGTGTTGGGACTTAATTTGTGTGTGGTTTTTGTTTTGTTTCATTTTTTTAAATATCACTTCATATAAACTGATGTATAGCTATTTTAAAATAAGTTGTCTGGCTATTTTGTTTTAATCAGCAACTGGTAACACGACCTTCTACTAATTACATGGTAGCTCCAGTGACTGGAAATGATATTGGAATTCGCAGAGCAGAAATTAAGCAAGGCATCCGCGAAGCAATTTTATGTAAAGATCAAGATGGCAAAATTGGACTTCGCCTTAAGTCTGTTGACAACGTAAGTGTAGAAGCTTGCTTTTGCCTATAGAGATACTACTGCTGGACTAAATTAGTAGTGAAGTTAGTGTATGGTCACAAAACTGTCTTCTGTATAACGCTCGCTTATCCATTATCAGAATTTTAAAATCCTTCATTAGATCAGTAACTAGATTTCCAGCTGTCTGGACTAGGATCTAAATTTACAGCAGCAATTTACTTCCAGGTGTTTTATAATGCCTGAAATATACTTGTAACTTTTTTTTTCACTTTAGAGCATGAAATTGTCCTTGCAGAGCTGCTGTGATACTTGTTAGCAGTTCAAGACTTCTTGTCTCTATCTTTGTGGAAACACTGGGCAGTACTTAAAGTTCAGCAGTATGCAGAGAACTACCCATGGCTTAGAAGTAGCTCCTCTTTTATAGATTCTTGCAGTGTGTTGCTGGTGAGAAAAGTAAGGATAGTGAGGGTGTCATTTTACCTATATGTCAAGAGTAATTTCAGAGTAGGCTTTTTCGAGTTTCCCTTAACATGAACATAGCTGCAAGAAGATCCTTAAACCTGCTCTGGAGCTTCTCTGTTTCAGTATCTTTTGATTCTCAACATGGAAAATGCTACTCTGTTCTGGTTTGTTTGGTTTTTTTTTGTTTTTTTGTTTTTTTTTTTGGCAAGGCCATTTAATCTGATTATTTAAAAAAAAAAATAAATTGTACTCAAGGTTTCATATAGTGTTAAAGTGCTTTTTGTGGTTCTCCTAACCCAGGAGATGCTGGGGTTTTCTTGGAGTAGCATGTGTTTTGTGTGTGTGGTTTTTTTGTTTGTTTTTTTTTTTTTATGCTGCCCCCAAGTATTATCTACAGTTTGCCTTGATATGCTTTACTTGGTTTTTAGGGGTACTTTGACTAGAAATAGTTTTTTTTAACAAATTGGTTTTTTTTTTACCTGAGGTGCTAGCAAGTCATAATTGATAAAAAGTTGAAAACTAATGGGGTTGTGAAAGAAGGAAAAATCTGCCACAGAGTTCCTAGCACTGCTGATCTATTTCTCCAGCTATATATAGACTCTGATGTCTGGCAAAAGAATTATTAGTTAAATGCACGAGGAGATATGCAAATTTACCACTAGTCTGTCTTGATCCAGTTGTTCAGATTTCTTGTTATAACAGAATAGTATTTACCCCTTCGAGTAAGGCTTTAATGTTATTCTCGTGTCTCTTTTTTTTAAAGTCTAGAGATCTAGACAGAACAGATTTGCCCATTTCCGAACTTTATTCTAGTATTAATTATCTGTCAGTCTCTTAAAGACATCTAGAAACAGACTGAAATTTCAAAAATGCCTCTTAAGGAGAGATAATTAGCAAGCCCTTCTGTCCATTTGGTTGGTATGACGTAGAGAATGGGAAACTTTAAAGGGCTGTGTGTTCTGTCACTGGTCTCCATCTTTAAGGAAGAACTTCCTTCCCCGCCCCTCCCCCCCTTTTTTTCTCTCTTGTAGGGTATATTTGTCCAGTTAGTTCAGGCAAACTCTCCAGCATCCCTCGTTGGTCTGCGGTTTGGGGACCAAGTTCTGCAGATCAATGGTGAAAACTGCGCGGGATGGAGTTCTGATAAAGCACATAAAGTTCTGAAACAGGCTTCTGGAGAAAGGATTTCAATGATCATTCGGGACAGGTAAAGCCAACTGCCGATACGGATTGTCATCCATCTCAGAGTAATTCTGTGAGGTTTGGGTCTCCCCTTGCTTGAGCAGGACCGCAGGCATAACAAAAACTGTTTGTCCATGTACTTCAATAGTGAAGATCCTCAGAAATGTTCCCTTTTGTGGGGAACAGTCAAAGTAGTTGTTAACTTGCAAACTTCCAGTGGACACTTGCCTGGGCATGATGGGACAGAACATTTTTCAACATAAACTAATGAGTGATAGCACAAGTCAAATTTAAACTCTGAATTCAAGAGTTCTGTGCTTTTTTCGGACACAACTTGGCTTTTGCTTATACTAATTGAAAAAGCAATAAAAGATGGTACCAAAATGTTCACTGTATTAATGAATACATTTACATTTTTATTTAGCATGATAGTTTTCTTGTGAACTCTGTTGCTTATGTATGACTTAATGACAGTTTCGCTAAAAGTATGCTTGATGAACCAATACAGATTTTTAATTGTATTAAATACTGAGCTTGTAGCTAGTTGTATGTGGTAATAATAGGTCAGATTCAAGGTAAGGTCTGTAGGCTATGAGAAGACAGATGATACATGATTAGGTATATGTCTCAAAGCCTTTTCAATATTCATTCTTGTTTAAGAACCAAGTTTGACCCAGTAGAGGACATGCTACTTCTATCAGGGCAGCTACTTCTATCATGTATTGAATCAAAATACTTGGGTAGTAGATTCCCTGCTCTGTCTACCACTTCTGTGCCCAACTCTCCCCCGCCTTCCTGGATTTACTAGCTTTTTTTTAAGACACAGTTTAAAGGTTTATTGTCTGTAAAGTGGTAGAAATGTTGTTGGGGAAGCCTTGTACTCCAGAATCCTGTGGTCTACCCACAGTTGTTAAAACTGCCTGTGCTATTTTATCTACCTTGTAACGTTTGTAGAGAAAACTTCACTTAATTTTTAATGGCCACTGGTGTTCCGTTGGTTGTGGTGGGTGGGTGGATGTTGTATGGGATTTTTGTATTATTATTAATCCAGATGGTGAAATGTCTGTAGAACAGGGAAAACATGTAAGATTTATAAACAAGTATATATTAATATAACTATTAACAAAGTGAAGTTAAACCCAATGACTTCTCATTCTAGTTGATGTATGAGTCTTTTAGAGTACACTTACTTTTTTTTAAGTCAAAGATGCTGAAATAGTGTGTGGTTCAGTAGACTGAAAACATGGTTTTGCACTTTAAATGTCTTACAGGCCTTTTGAACGAATTATTACTATGCATAAGGACAGCACAGGGCATGTTGGTTTCATATTCAAGAATGGAAAAATAACCTCAATAGTGAAAGACAGTTCTGCTGCGAGAAACGGACTTCTTACAGAGCACAACATCTGTGAAATTAATGGCCAGAATGTAATTGGGTTGAAGGTAAGATAAGTAGTATGTGGCGGGTGTGGATAGCTGTGAGCTTTTTGTGTGCATATAGTAATTGTGTTCTGGAGAGGGAAAAGGATTGTAATATATTGTTTAATGTTCATAAAATAAGAAAGTAAGTCATAAGAGGTAACTTAACTTGATTGGAGAGACATGTATGTTTTGAGGCTTCTTTGCAGTTTTGTATCTGTAGGCAGGGCAACTCATTTTCTTCCTCTCTGCCTCTACCTGGCTAGGCTGACCCTCAGTTTTTATCTTTAGTCCAACTTTTCTGGCAAAACAAAGAATAAGCTTCCTCCTGCCAGCCTGTGTCAAATTCTAGTAGGAATTCTGTGTGTAACATCTGTCCCTGTGTCAAATTCTAGTAGGAATTCTGTGGGTAACATCTGTATCCCTTCTCTAGTCAGTTCGTGCAAGATACTGATAACCAAACGTCTATGAAGTGGTATTGCAGGTTCAGTGATTTGCCCTGAAGGTTAAATACTCCAAGCAAGGAGCTGTGGGTCTCTTAAGCTGCATGAAATGTGTCTAGAAAAAGCTCTTGAACTGCTGCGTTGTTAGTCAGCTTGAGCAATGCTGCTCATATGACTTCTTGTTTAATTACAGGACCCCCAGATTGCAGACATCTTGGCAACAGCTGGAAATGTAGTGACCATTACCGTCATGCCTTCCAGTATTTATGAGTATATAATAAAGAGGTAGGTAATAAACAAAGCAGCCATGGTGTTAATTATAATCAAGTTGACAGTGACTTTTTTTTTTGGTAGGTTAAATAAAAAGTCCTTATGATAAGACCTAATTATAAACTTAACATGAAGGCTGGCAAGGGCTTGGGGGGAGCCTGAGAATTTGCTTAATCTGATGTTTTAGTCAAGCCGGTGTGTTTTGGTTCTGTTTTTAAACTAATCATGTTAGTGATGCTCTTTTGCCTTTTCTCTTGAAAAACCCTTTTCTAAATGTAATTTGACTAAACTTGGAGTTTCCCAGAACTTTCAAGCGCTTGGATAACACAAGTATTTGTTACCTTGTAACTAAAATGTTGGTTTTAGTGCAACTAATTCTGGTGACGTAAACATGATTCTTGGCAGGATATAGTTGGTTTTTTCTAATCCTTTGGCAGCAGTGGCTTTCTACAGCTAAATCTCTCCTGCAAAAATATGTTTTTGAAGTTGCTAGAAATTAATAATGCTTCAGGTATAATTGCGTCTTCCCCCCCCCGCTCGCACTTGATACGCTCTTTCTACAAAACGGTTTTCAGTCTAAACAGCCGCCTTTCCCCCTGCCCTCCTTCCCTCATACTTGTGATACTGCTCTGCTTGCACACTTGCCCACATCTTGAAAGATGTTGGTAACACAGCTCAGTTACTAATAAAAATGTTGAGTATCGTGGGCTTCTCTTCTGTGTGTGCAGTTTGGTGCACCCTTCTGCAGCAACGTATTTGTTGTCAAAAACAGTGGAGTAAAAGGCCAACTTTTAAATTGTATTACAGGGCTAGCAATGACAAAGATACAGTGATCAGAAGCTTTAAGTGGTCTTCTACAGTTGTCTTGCAAAACTGAATGCCTTTTCCTTTTCTTTAGGATGGCAACTAGCATTATGAAAAGCCTGATGGATCACTCTGTTCCTGAAGTCTAAACTTGCAATGTGTGTGTGTACATATACATAATGATGATTCCACTAAACTTGGGCTATTATACTCAGTGATTTCTCTCTTCTGCACATGAGCCTTTCTGGAGGCTAAGAGAAGATATGCTGCATCAAGCATTTGCATCTATAATGGCTGGGAATGTTACAGTTCAACATATCTCATTTATTCACAAACTGTAAAACTTGTAGCCTTATATGCTTGACAAATGTGAAATTCCAATTGTGTTAAGACTTCTTTCGTAGGTCTTTTATTTAGTGTACTACTACTATAAGCCATTGCAACTAAAGGAACCAGATATCACTTGCAAAGTTACGTGTTGTTACCTAGAACAATGCTGTGCTTTGTATGTTTAAGACAAATGAGTATTTTTACTGCTTTCTGTTTGCAAGAGTAGATTTGAAATAGTGTATTAGAAGTGTGGCTAGTACTAGTTAAGTTTTTGTTCCAGTAAATACTGTTTACACAAGAATGCCAGCTCAGCTGAACATAGCTAAAGGCATCATTCAGTAAGTAAGTGTATTAAATCAAAGTAGTGTACAGATACTCAAATCTTTTTATTACTTGTTATACAAATTGTAACTAATATGCTTATCTCTCGCCTTAACCATGTTCTTAAGGATTCAGAAATAACCAAATAAATGACTGAAACTTTAGATACTGCGTGTGTGCATACTTCTTAAGATGAGCTCAGCCAGGCTTGTTCAGTTGAGGTCAGTTTCAACCAACAACAAAGGCAAGGTAGGAAATGCAGTTTAAATAGTTTTCTAAATAGCTCACTGCCTATAGTGTTGAAAAGTTTTAAAAGGGTAGAGCTGGGATACTTTAGACAAGATATCCTTAACTCTTTTCATACCTTCAGCTTAACATGTGGGACAACAGCCTAGCTGTTCTGTAAGACGTACTAACTGTATAGTGGCAATTTCATTTTAAAACTGGTTGGAGCTTGCTGGGTGCACTGGGTCTGGTTGGGACGGAATTAACTTTCTTCATAGCAGCTGGTATGGTGCTGTGTTTGAGACTTGTGACTAAAACAGTGTTGATAACACAGCAGTGTGTTTGCTGTTGCTAAGCAGTGCTTGCACAGTGTCAAGGACTTCTCTGCTTCTCACTCTGTCCCCTGCCCCCAGCGGCCAAAGAGGCTGAGAGGGAACACAGCTGGGACTAATGACCCAAACTGACCAAAGAAAAATTCCATGCCATTTGACATTATGCTCAGTGATGAACTGGGGGGAGTCTTTCCAAAGTAGCTGTTGCTTGGAGACTGGATGGGCATCAGTCTGCTAGGGGGAGGGGGTAAGTGATTGCCTTTGCATCACTTTTTTCTTTTTTTTCCTTTCCTCTTCACTTAGTAAACTGTCTTTCATCTTAACCCACAAATTTTCCTAGCTTTTGCCCTTCTGATTCTCTTACCCATCCTGCTGTGGGGCAGATGAGTGAGAAACTCAGTGGGGGCTCAGCTCCTGGCTGGGGTCAATCCACTGGACTAAGGCTATAGGCTTGTTCAACTGAAACTTCAAGAAGTTAAGTAAGTGATCTGAAGTTAAATACCAGTTTTGGCAATTCCCTTTTTTTATGCTCTGTTCCAGGTTTCAGCTGTGCAATCTAGGATTACTTAACTTCAGGGTACTGTTAAGTTTAGCAGTGTCAACTCAGCCGTGCCTGTCAAGAGTCTGTCTTGTAGTTTCCTATTTCTCAAATGAATTTCTCAGTTATGGTAACCAAGGGAAAACAATTACACTACTTCAGGCTGTAGTGGAGCCATTTTAATTGGATGGATTGGTTACTAAATGATATGTTTCTGGAACCACTGTGGCAAGCACTTACTGGCAGTAATGGGTGACTTCATGTAGCATTGGTATGATTCAGCCTTATAGGGCACAGGCGCTGTGGCCTGTAGCAGTCACCTCTAAGTTTCTTGGCAAGCTAGTTTGCTTAGCTATGAAATCCCTGGAGCCCAAAACAACATATTATTGACATGCTGATCTCTGCCTCTAACCAGTTTTTACTTAGGAGCAGATGATTCAGCTGGGGCCAGCAGAGATCCATTGGAAATATGAGGGGCAGAACTTCAGGACAAGTATTTAGTGTTTTCCTTCCAGCTGTAGCATGTAGCAACCAGAAGTGCAAGAACTAATCAAAAAACTCCTGTTCTCATGCAGAAACTAGCTTGCATTGAAAAGTAAGCAAGCTATGGTTAAATGTATGTACATACATAAACTTAAGAGTTAAGCTGCAAGAAAATACTGGTCTATATGTAATTCCTTGCACACATCTGATTGATTAAAAAAAAGTAACATACTGACAATATAACCTAGTAAGTGGGTTAACTTGATTTTCCCTTCCCCCCCTCCCCCTTAAAAAGCTAAGGCTGCTTTAGGCAATGAAATTGTATGCATCCATATTTAACCAAAAGAAAGTTAAGTGTATTTTCTCTGAGGTAGCTTAAGTCAAAATTCAGGGGTCATAGACTTCAGGGTCATTTTCCTCTGGTTTAGATCAGTAGGGGGCCCTCTAGTGACAAAGGAACACACAGCTGTGCCCAAAATTTGGGTAAGACAGTGTCAAGAAAACAGGTGTGAAGTTTACTATTGCTCACGTAGTTCCTTTGTGATTTTCAAGCACACTGGAGTACAACTTGAGTTGCAGAATTGCACAATAGGAGGAACAGAATACAAAAATAGGATGTGCTAGAAGGTAAAACAAGTTACAGTGCAATTCTTAAACTGAGGCTGGTACCATAATGCAGAAAACCGAAACCTTGTGGGCCAGGGACAAAATACAATAGGGTGGAGGTAAACAAGCAATGATAGGCACACTTAAAACAACACATAAAAAGCTTTTAACACAATCCAGAAATCACCTAAGACATTTCCAGGCAAGTGTAGAATGTGGGTTTCTGTGTCGTCTTTGCCTACGCACAGATAGATATATTTGGGAAATAAATACAATTAAAGGTGAAGAAACAGGGTAGACACCAAACATTGTGCTGCAAGATTAAGACTGGTAACAGTAGGCATGCATGATACAGCTTAATCTATTGCCACATATGCCTTCACCAAACACACTCATTGATTACACAAAAATTTAGTTATTTGCTAAGTCAAGTGAGTAATGCAGCTGAAATACCAGTTTGCTTTAACATCATGCCATTACCTTATTGAAAAATAAGTTCAAACTCCAGCATAATAGAAAGAGGAATGAAAAAACAGCCCCTAACCATAAAACAATTGTTTAACTATGCTAAAGAAACAGCTGTGCCCTGAAAAACCTAGACAGGATGTCTACAGACAAAGGACTGACTGAACATAATTCAGGAGAATGCTTGTCCTGGACACATTGACAGGACATCTTAATACCAGCAGTAGTCTTAATACCAGCAGCAGAGAATACCATCAGAGAAGAAATACTGGTCTTGGGTCACACTGGGGCAACATCACACCTGCAGCTGCTTGTTGCTGTAATAAGCCATTTAAAGATTATTTCAAGTCTTTAACTTCCGAACAGCTCCTTGCAGGAAACCATAGCCTTAAGTCCTACAGAGAAAGCAATGCTGCTTTGCCACTGCGTTAAGACAACAAGGGATTGGATAAACCCAGGAGCTGTAGCTCTGTTTAAATGCTGTATTTAAATTTCACCCCAAAGATGATTTGAGTTGAAAGAGGTTGAGAATACCAAACAAAACATGAAGATGCTGAAGATTAAGAGAAGGATAGTAAGAGAAGGGATGAAAGGCAGTAGTAATACAGCATAAGACATGACAGACTAACTTCAGGCACAGTATTAGGGGAAGATTTATATCAACACATTACATGTATGTGTAACTGTTCTCTGCTAGGGGATCAATTTTATGCTTGGCTTCCTTTCAGGCTAATACATTAGTGCTGTTTTTCAATAGGAAAAAGCAATATAGTCTTCTATAGTCAATCTTAGTCTTCTCTATGCCTTTGCAAATAGCCACATTTGGAGACTAGATAATAGACTAGACTGACCACTGCTCAGAACAACAGCTCCCTTAGTGTTCAAAGCAGTATTTACTATCGTATGCATCTTCACTAGGAAGAAAGGTTGACTACACAAGAGGTACATACATTATGTCATAAGACATGGCGCTAAATTGCAAGCATCCTTAAAGACTTCTTAAGTTAAGAATGCAAATGCTGCTTCTTTGAAACCAGTTCTAACAGCAAGCTATGATGCATTCTACATAAATCAAACAATGACTGCAAGTTAAGAGCTCTTTAATTAGAGAAAAATAGGTCTTTAATTTCATCTCAGATATCATTTTAGACAAGCATTTTCAGTATGATAGTTCATGAAAAACAAATGCATACACTATGGAAGTTAAGAGCTCTCAGTGAAGTCACCATAACATAGAAAGTTGTAGTTGAACAAAGCTTCCTATCTGGTTGAACTTCAGCAACCATCATTGCACACAGTTAAGTTCCTTTAAAAGGTTTGGTTTAAAATAAAAGTTCATTTAAATGTCTGGAGGGAAAAGGCACTTAGTATTGCAGTTTCCAGAACATGATTTGTTTGTCTTCCCCTCCTGTAATAACACTGTTGCACTGTTCATTCATCCACATGGACATTACAGCACCTGGGGGAAAAAACCCCAAACAAACAAGTAAATCCAAATGCAAATACAAGTGGTACTCGAGATGATGGAACAGATCTTTTTAAGAGAGTTTAGGGTCATCTGATCATTAGTTTGGACTACACTGACACCACCTATGCTAAGAAGAATTTTAGTAGCCTTCTAGGTGGCTGCTCTTATTCACAGTAATGATCTCATGCTACATTGCCTCGGCAGACTTTGGGTACTAGAGGGACAATGCCAGTTGCAGTGTAGAATGCAGATGGCACACTGGCTAAAGGATTCATGGGGATGAGGGGAGGAGGTTACTCTAGAAAGTGAGATTTTTCACTCTGCCATTTGGACTTCTCACATTAAAACTGTATTCACATCTAGCATATGCCTAGACGCCCACTTGAAACATTTCTCTAGCTACAGAATGATCTCTATACAGGTCAAGTTCCAGAGTATAAGCTTATAGCATGTAAGTTTGAAATAACTGTTCATGAAGGCAGCCTTAAAAACCAAACTGAATAAAACTGAGATAGATAGTTTTTCTCCTTCACACATTTTGGTTGCTAATGTACTGAAGACTATACAGATACATTGAAGAAGCCTATCCAAAATCCCCATCCAAAACAACTTCTCTAGTGAACTTCACTTATTTTGTTGTTAGACTCACAGTCTGGATGGACTTTGACAAAGTATACAACGCAGTCTACACTACACTTCATTAGGGCTATGAGGTAGAAAAATGTTGACTTTTGTGATGTTGTGTGAAGTAGAAAAATCTCAAGTCGTTTACCTTTGGTCAGTCTTGTAAACAGCAATGTTCCTCCATTGTTATTAAATTTCCTAGGAGGCTCGTGTGGACCTACTTTTAGAATCATAGAATAGTTTGGGTTGGAAGGGACCTCTAAAGGTCATCTAGTCCAACCCCCCTGCAATGAGCAGGGACATCTTCAACTAGATCAGGTTGCTCAGAGCCCCGTCCAACCTGACCTGGAATGTTTCCAGGGATGGGGCATCCACCACCTCTCTGGGAAACCTCTGCCAGTGTTTCACTACCCTCAGCATCAA